TTAAACGAGGTGTGCTATCATGGACCTATATTCAAATAGTTTATAAGCACGGTCTTGCTCAGCCTTTTTTCACCCATTTTTGGTTATAGGCCTTTTCATGAGCACGTCAAGCAGTGCGGTTCCAGGCGCTTCCAGCTATTAGCGATTTTAATCACTGATCAAGTAAAAATGTTCAGTGCGGTAATAATTAATTGAGTTTTATGACTTTAGTTCTTTATTATTATTTATCACCACTTTCATCCCTCTTATTATACATACATAACTATACTTGTATGTAGATACTAATCCATAATCTTACTTACTAACTTCACAACTTAAAACCTAACTTACTTACTTACTTCGTTTTATCTATTTAAAATAGAACCGCCGTATAATATTTAGATAAACAAAAAGTTAGTTAAATGTTTTGATAACAATTGATTCACGTTTCATTCAAATCCCTTTATTATAAAAAATAATCATATTCATAGATTCGATTTATGCTACCGGAAATAAAGTCTCTATTGGGTTATATCATAACGTATAAACGCGTTACGCAAAATGTGTTTCAAGCGTTTTGACCACTTAATAACAACATTTGTATTTAAAACATATAGCTCACGACACTATTTTGTTAGTACCGGTATTGTGACCTTGACACATGCTAAGAGCGGTCAGAGTCAAGTACGCGCTCACACATTTCTTCGCCCCACCAGCTTGCTCTCGCAACCACCCGCTTTTACTATAAAACTATAAACTTCAGGTCCTTTGATATCAATTAACACCAGCTCGTAGCAAATACTACACCAAAATGTTCAGCAAAGTAAGTTTGTTTCGTTATGGTAGTTTCATATTTATTAGAGGTTGCCAGAGAGAACGATTTTCGTTCGTTTAGTTCATTAATCAGTGTGACTTGAAGTGTCATTGTATAGACGTATGATAACATGTTATTTAACATACAGCTACCATATAACTTATGGTAACATAAAGTATTTTTTTTAAGTTAGTGGTAAGATGTTTAAAAAAGCCTTTGTTTACAGTTTGCAACTAGTCAAGTGAGTTGTTTATGTCAAAAATGCATAAGAATAACTTTGACTAATAAAGTGACCAAATAAACTTCATAATTTTATATTCTAATTAAGTGAACATCTTAATTCCTAGATCGTAGCTTTCGGTGCGATGTTGGCCGCTGCCAACGCTGGTCTATTGGGACATGGCCACGCCATCTCTTCCCAAAACATCATTCGTCACGACGAACCCATCCACTATGCTGCCCCAGTGGCTCACTATGCTGCTCCCGCAGTCCACTACGCCGCCCCTATTGTCCAACACGCTTCTCCTGTAGCTCACTACGACGGTCACGATACCTATGTAAGTAACTGTCTTATAAATATTAGTATTATAGCGTGAACTGTGTAATGCGAGCACTCAAGCTTATTATGCCCTTTCATATTTTAGGCTCACCCCAAATATGACTTTGCCTACTCTGTGGCCGACCCTCACACCGGTGACCACAAGTCTCAGCACGAGAGCCGCGACGGTGACTCTGTCCATGGCTACTACTCTCTGCTCCAACCTGATGGTTCTGTCCGCAAGGTCGAATACAACGCTGATGCACACAGCGGGTAAGTTATCACGTTAAGCGTCTTAATTCTGCTTCTTCAGACTAAGATCTTAATCAAAAACAGACGTTAACATAACATATTACTCTTCAGATTCAACGCTGTTGTACACAACTCCGCTCCTGCTGTACATCCCGCCCCCGCCCATGGACATGCTTACCACCAGTATTAAGCCCTCGATGTGTGTTACTAATTTATTATTTTTTGTGAGACGAGTGATCAATATGAGATGAATATATTTAAATAACTATAATATGTAAATAAAACTGTGATTTTTAACTTCAACCTACGTTGTTTTTATATTATTTAGTTTTTATTTGAAATGAAGTGCCTGCAAATGCAGCAGAGTAGTAACTAATGTATTGGCATAAAAGCAGCAGTACCAGATGTCAAAATTAGGAATAGGAAGCTTTCCTTTATTGTAAGACGTAGGTAAATAACGAAAACGTTGACGATCAACTTCTTTTAAAAATAATAATGCAAACATCAATTTGAACTCGCTTCGCACATTACCTGAAGTTAACGAATCGGGCTGAACGAAATTTTAACGAGAAGACCTGAGATGGTGTGGTGCTCCGTGCGCGCTCTCTGATCTTACGGGGTTTGGGTTCTCGTACTTCACGCTGTAGTCAACTTTTTACTGGGCAGCCTATGTCTGCGGGTCTTGTCAATGGATTCCTTGCTAGTTTATCTCAGGCTCCTTGCAGTACACTTATTGGTGAGGGAGCAACGTGCGGTTTTCGACATTTACCCTCGGCTCTGGTGGTCAATAATGTTCTAATATAATTAAGTTGCATAAAAGTGTCACTGACTTTAATGAGCTTAAATCATGATGAAATCAACTGTACTCATAAATGGTATTTTTTCTTGAAATTTGAATGGAATAAAACGGGAAGTATTCACGGAGTCAGTGAGGCTACCGGACCCGGACCCTTAATTCCTTTTCCCCCTTAATTCTGGGGTAGAGAAGCTTCAAAGTGCGGCAATGAACTAGTGACTCTTGAGTTGCAGGCGGCCAAGGGCAGCGGTAGACACCGTCAGGTAACCCGTAGGTGCCTCACTATACCATAAAAAAATGACTAGCAGAATTTAGTCCTCTTTACTTCTGATTTATCAAACATCAAAAAATAATCCCTGGTCTTTTAGTACTAAGTGACTGTTGGTTCAATTTTATCTTTTTTCGTTCGCGTGGAATTTCAAAAGCGCTGCCTTAGTGAGTACGGTTCCCGGAATAAGCAAAATTCTATAGGGTTTTTCTGAGAGAAAAAATAACCTAAGTTACTCAGCTACTTGGTAGTAAAATTTTATCAAAATCGGTCCAGCCGTTTTGAAGATTACTCGGAACAAACAGCCAGACAGACAGACAGAAAGACAGACAGACAAAACATATTTAAACTGGTTTATGGGTTCTGTACCTCAAAAGGTAAAAAAGGAACCCTTATAAGATCACTTTCTTGTCCGTCTGTCCGTCTGTCCGTGTGTCACTACCGATTTTCTCAGGAACGGGTAGACCTAGCAAGTTGAAATTTCTACCAGATACTGAGGTCTATGATCCCTATTAGGTGTATACAAATCATGGTCCTGAGTTAACACGATGAAAAGATATGAGCAAATTTCGATTTTCGCGAAAACTTGTAAGTGCCAAAATTTCAATTAATTTTCAACTTTTTTATTTTCCTGAATTTTCTCTTTACCTGTGCTGTAAGACCTCGATTCTAACCAAAATTAATAATTCTAAGTCCGATATTTGTTTTAAAGTAGGTATTATAATGTTAAAACTATTTTGAAAGTAACGTCACTGGCTAGAGTGTTGCTAATCAGCCAGATGTGATATTCTAAAAAATAAATGTCTCATTTATAATAACTTAACAAGTAAAGATGACCAATGGTAGCTTAAATCAATACATCATTGAAACCAGATCCAGAACAGTATAAAAAACGTTTTGGGTCGAAAACCTATATGGTAGTTCCCGTTGGCCTAGAATCACGAAATTTGGAAAAAAGAAACGTCTTACAACATAAATAACGGAATAATTCCAAAAAATAAAAAAAGTTGATAATTAAGAAAAATGTTGGTACTTGGTAAAATCTGGGTAATCTTTGTAAAATCTGGGTAGTTAAAGAACCCTGATCGCACGAGTTCGACTCGTACCTGACCGGTTTTATTAGGCAAAGGTATCGTGCAAATAACCGTGTAAGCATGACAAAAACCTATTATTTTGACATTACAAACAAAAACTTCAATTGTATTTATTTGTATAGATTATGATGGCTTTTATTTTTTATTATGATGGGTTTTTAAATTATATTTCCAATCTTATAGTTTCAGGCAAGCCAACATGTTTCCTCAATAAAATCAAAAATTTCATCATCATCATCAATAGCTTTTCATAGTCCTCTGTTTAGGCCTACTGTACCACGCTGGCCAGACGGATTGGTATAGTAGGCCAAGTTTTTCTTCCATTTCGGTGCTGTTGTCTTGCGTAGTTCGCACTTACGACACCCACGGGATGACTAGGAGTGGTGACATTCCGTATTCTTAATCCATCACCACACGGACAATTAGAAAATTTAATATTATTATATATTTTTTATTATCATTTTATTACCTACCAATCGATACCTAAGTTCTCGCTGAGCATTTAAAAGATCAATCGACGCTGACCCTCATACACAGAACTAAAAACGCTTATTAATTTTAATAAAGTATGACTATGCTGGACATAGGCCTCTCCCATTGTACGCCACTTAGATCGATTTTCGGCTTCTCGCATCCAGCTCCTGCCAGCCATCTTGCGCAGATCGTCACTCCACCTAGCCTGTGCTCGTCTTACATTACGTTTGCTTAGACGCGGTCTCCACTCAAGAACTCGTTTATCACAGTATGTCCAGCAGTGGACTGCGACAGACTGATGATGATGTTTATGGCTGTGCTGTTGGTCGAGTGGTTAGCGATCCTAAGTGCTAAGCCAGACGTCGTGGATGTGATTCAGGACAAAGTGTGATAAGCACGATTATTTGATTTCTAGTTTAGTAGGGTATAGTTTCTCTATTATGTATTTAGAAATGTGCAATAATAACTAAAATAAACCCTAGTTTGAGAGAGCAGTGTGTAGAATGTGTCATGTTATTGTTATAAGAAAACACTCCTACCTTTCATTTACTTAATTTTGTCTATTTAAAATGAATACACAATAATAATGAAATACTTTTTACTATTTTTGCTGTGTTACAAAAATAACCACGACCTTAATACATGTAACAAAAGATGCGCATATGTATTTCATTGCCCCACCCGCTGATATTTGTAATAGCCTAATGTTACTACGAGTATAAAACTGTTAACAGCAGGGTTTTTGACATCAATCAAAACTAGCTTTTGACATTCACAGCATCAAAATGTTTAGCAAAGTAAGTGTGATAAACTTTTTTGCCAGTACCCATTTGTAAGCCGATCGTCTAGATAAATTGAAGTCGATAATCTCACTCGTAAAACAAAATCAAGATTAATTCAACGACATATCTTTTCAGGTGGTAGCTCTCAGCGCGCTCTTGGCTGCTGCCAATGCTGGTCTGCTTGGAAATGCCCATTCTTCAGCTGTCCATAACATCGTTATTCATGAGGCACCCATTCACCAGGCTGCCCCTGCGATCCACTATGCTAACTCTGACGCTCACTACGATGCCCCAGTAATAAATCACGAGAGTCACGACACTTATGTAAGAACTAATCGTCTAATTTCGTTATTGTAATTCCAAGTTCCTTTAGATATTTTTAACACTGTCTTTAATACATTCCAGGCTCACCCTAAATATGACTTCTCCTACTCCGTGGCCGACCCTCACACCGGTGACCACAAGTCCCAACACGAGATCCGCGACGGTGACTCTGTCCATGGCTACTACTCTCTGCTCCAGCCTGACGGCTCTGTCCGTTCGGTCGAGTACTCCGCTAATGACCACAAGGGGTAAGTGATCATACTAAAATATTCACACAAAAAGTAAAATCTCACTGTATATCAACTGTATATCAACAAACTATTGTATAATATACAACTACCAGATATGTGTACCGTAGTGGGTTGTGTAACGGACTTCTAAGCTAAAGGTCACGGGTTCGATTTCCGCTCAAGTCAAACATTTTTGTGCATGAACATTTTAATGTTTGATTTAGTCTGGGTATTTCTATGTATAATATGTAAGTATTTACAAAAAAACTGTATATGGACTTGTATCAGTTGTTAGCCATAGTACATAGTCTGCGTAGCCATCAAGTGAGAATATGGTAGAAAGGAGGCTTTGTGAGAATGTGGTAGAATATTATTTATTTATTATTGGTTGTTTGTTTCAGATTCAACGCCGTGGTACACAACTCCGCCCCCTCCGTACACCCTGCTCCCCAGCACGGAAATGGTTACCATCATTAATTCAGGTCTGGTCTATCTGGTCTTAAGTCTGTAATGTTTCTTAGTATTTATTATTTTTCATGAGACGACTGAACTATGTCATATGAATGTATTGTAAATAAAATATAGTTTTGTATTTTATCTATTAATTTTTTCTACAATTCCTTCATTCTACAGTTCCTCTTTAAAATTTATTAGAAATTCGTAGACAATCACATTTTAAATATGTTTATCTTTACTAATCTTTAATCCAATGTTATATTTAGAGAAACATAACCTGATCTTGAAAGCCAAGCTTTCTAGTTTTTCTATCCTGTTCTATGGTTGGTTTCAATGACTTTACAACCGGTGATGTAGGACACAACGATCGGTACAAAAGAGCGGGAACTGTTTTGATAATTTCTTTTACTACCACATCTTGCTTACAGACAGGACTCCAGTCAGTAACGACATATTCAAAACCGTTTAAGCGTCATAATCCTTACATTAAGTAGCGTACATTTTTTTAAATGTTGGTAGTGAAAATTTGAAATGATTTATTCAACAATGTGACATCTTGTATTATGCAAGAAGTCATTCTAATTATAGGTCTTTACCTATGAAATTGCCGTTTTGTATGCAATAAGTGAAAGTACTTATTTTTTCAAACTTTTTTATTTGTGTTATTCGAAGTAATCACCCATGCAATCGACGCATCTTTGCCAAAATAACTACAATTAGCACTGAATCAGCGATTGGTCATAATTTTAAAAGGTTTTAAAAATAGCTACTTTTGCCTATATCTACCATAATATGTATAGTTTATGATTTTATATACACATATTATACACTAGCTAGCAAAGTGACAAATTGTGGTTGCATTGATAAGCAATGAGGAACAACGCAGACACGAAAAATTTAAAAAATAATTTTTTTTTTTTTTTTTTTTGTGTATATCGTGTTAAAATTTAAGCTCAATCGTTGCAGAACTTTTAGAGTTTTTGTACCGTACACAAACAAACTTAAAATTTATAGATTTATATAGATAGGAAAAATATATAGAAGATATCTGCTCCTCTTCTCCTCATTTAATCTGTACTCCTCCGGAACGCTCTTCCTTCTCATACAGGAAGTCAAAATAGCACCCAGTCGTCATTCATTCAAGACGACGCGGACGTTAAGAACTCTCCTCACAGTAGTAGTGTAGCTGCATTGTTATTAGATTATTACATTGTATATTAATTGTATATGTATATACATATATAAATGCATTTGCCTTATTTCCCCTATTTTTTCACTTCTCTTTTCGTGTAAATGTTTTACTAATCAAGACTTTTTAATTTACTTTAGAACTAGTACACTTAATCAATAGTTTTTACACCACGCTGAAGTAGACTGGCAGAGATTGCTTGTGGCATTAAGCCCGTCATTGTATATTTTTGTTCGTAAAGCGTTAATACAAAGAGCAAAATAATCTTGATAACGTGTACATCTCAGCACAACTGGTCCTGATCCCAATTGATAAAATGATTAGATTGTCACAATAAGGAACTACAAAAATTGCCAGTAATTACAAAAAAAGGGCAATGATTAATGGATAATGCAGCCAGAAGACACACTACGTATTCTATGACCAGATGTTAATTTTGAGTTTCAGTTGTTTTAGATCGTTCATATTTAAATAATCAAAATTTGAGTGATTTTAAGATTCTATACATTTTGGACAGAGTCAAACACTCAATCCAGATCAAAAAAATATGAAGTCTAGAGCATCAATAATAGTAAATGGTAATAGGAAAATTAAGGCCAACTAACAATGAAATAAATCCCTTTTAATATTATAATACCTAACTATATTAAAAAAGCCGTGTGGTGTCGTGGGACACCCGATAGGAACGAAGTTGTGACGATCGAGTAAAATTGATTGGACACGATTTTAATTACAACGCCATCTATGAAAGCGGCTATTACCTACATATTTTTCAGTTGGTTTCTAATTAAAACAATTTATACATTGCTAAAATCTCCTTGAGAAATGATGTCGAATACAATATTTTTTGCTCAACCTAAGAACCTAAATTTTAATTTTACTGATATGAAAAGTAATGATTTCCTATCTATTCGATAGATGGCGCTGAATGACTGACAAGTGACAATTCAAAATAAGAAGTGTAGTTACAACTTTTCGTGACATTTTTTTCCGTCTAGCCCCGCGATAACGAACCCCACAACGCGCGATAAGGAACTTCGTTCCAAAAATTATTTGTCTTAAAGTAGGTATTATAATGTTAAAACTATTTTGAAAGTAACGTAACTGGTTAGAGTCTTGCTGATCAGCAAGATGTGATATTCTAAAAAAAACGTGATAAATGTCTCGTTTATAATAACTTAACAAGTAAAGATGACCATGGTAGCTTAAATCAATACATCACTGAAACCTGATCCATAACAGTATAAAAAACTTTCTAAAACTAATTAAATTTGAAATTAGAGAAGTGGTTTGTAAAAATGCAGCTTTCAAAATCTAGTATATATAAATAAAACATTGAATTAGTCATTAAAAAATATAAAAATATTTAAAATGTATTCCATGAAATTCTAATCAATCGTAAGAGGGTCAGTTTTGGATTTCCAAATAGAATTTGTAGAAAAACAAATAGATAAAAACTAAAATATATTTTATTAACTATACATTCATATTATCACATGGTTCAGTCGTCTCACACAAATAATAAACAGTAAGAAACATTACAGACTTAGTGGTGGTAATCATTTCCGTGATGGGGAGCAGGGTGTACGGAGGGGGCGGAGTTGTGTACAACGGCATTGAATCTGAAACGAACAACCGATAGTTAGTTGATGTAAATTGAGTTTTTTTATTTTATTAAAAGGTTTTTTTAAATATGATCACTTACCCCTTGTGGTCATTAGCGGAATACTCGACTGAACGGACTGAGCCGTCAGGTTGGAGCAGAGAGTAGTAGCCATGGACAGAGTCACCGTCGCGGATCTCGTGTTGAGACTTGTGGTCACCGGTGTGAGGGTCGGCCACGGAGTATGAGAAGTCGTATTTAGGGTGAGCCTAAAGGTTTTAAAGAAAATAATGTAAATAATATGTAGAGTAACGTAACAAAAAGAAAATTCATATGACCATTACTTACGTAAGTGTCGTGGCTTTCGCTGTGAATTACTGGGGCACCGTAGTGGGCATCAGCATTGGCATAGTGGATCTCAGGGGCAGCATTGTGGACCGGTACATCATGATGAACGATGTTATGGTAAGCTGAAGAATGGGCATTCCCAAGCAGACCAGCGTTGGCAGCAGCCAAGAGCGCACTGAGAGCTAAGATCTGAAAGTATAAGAGCAGTGAATTAGCATACAATTTGGCTATGGGTAAGATTAGGAAATACCGAAAAATCTGTGATTAAAAATGTACTACACTTACTTTGCTGAACATTTTGGTGCAGTGATTATCAAAGGTTAGTTTTGATTGATGTCTAAAACCCTGTCGTTTTTAGTTTTATAGTAATACTATTACAAATGTCAGCGGGTGGGGCAATTAAATATACGCGTGCATCTGTTGCATGTATTAAGGTCGTTGTTACTTTTTACATAGTCAGAATTTTATGTTATTAATTTCATATTTATATTAATTTTGTATGTTTTGGTCGGGTGTTAGGTGGGTCTAATGGGCGACCTTTAATATTTAATTATTTTTATTTATTTATGACTTCATGCATATCTACATCGGCGGACTTAATGCCTAAGGCATTCTCTGCCAGTCGACCGATTGGGCGATACAGAGAAAGAGTGAGGTAGGTACATTTATGGGGAGAAATGATAGAATTCTTCTTCAGTACTATTTGTCCTTCGAATTGACGTATATAGGCAATTATATATTATTATATTTATAGTATATATACCAGAACTAACACATTTACATATATATACATACGTACTCATATACATATATATATATATATATATATATATATTGTATTATATATATATGTGTATGTGTATATTGTATTTATATACACATACACACATAGATACATTAAAAAAAATATTATAACTGTGGGTGATGAATTAAGAGCCCGTTGATTCTGCTAACTCACTCAGCAACAGCTCCTTTACCTTCATCTTGAAAGAGTAACGGTTTGTAACCATCCTGACTTCGACTGGAAGCGCATTCCACAAGAGGATAGACTGAACAGAGAACGAAGAACCAACAAACCCGGTAGTGTAAGAAGGACAAAGTATAAGAAGATTGTTAGAAGAACGAAGGTTTCTGTTATGGTTCTTGCATAATAGTTGAATTTTTGAAGTTAAATAAGTAGGAATGAATGGGGAATTGAGGATAGTATGCAGAGTTGTGAGTGCGCGCATTTTTCTGAATTGACGAATTGGTAACCACCTAAGCTGGGAACGAAAACTAGAGACATGGTCATACTTACGAAGATTAAAGATAAATCAAAAGCAATTATTAAGAAGACGATCTAATTTATTGAGAAGATCTGCATTCAGGTCGTAATAGCACACGTCACCATAGTCGATTAACGGGAAGATCTGAGACTGCACAAACATTGTCTTAGTTTTCACGAGGAGAAAGTGTTTCAGGCAATACAGTGTTCTGAGGATGCCGGTCACCCTCTGGCATACATATGTAACTTGATCCATTGCGGTACCATTCAAAATTATTCTAGGAAGCGTCTCGAAATTCACTCTGTTCATCGAACGGTGACTGCCGATTAGTATGGCCTGGCACTTTGTAGGGTTAACCGACAATCCAAATCTTTCAGACCAGTTATCAATCGTTTTAAGGTCTATGTTAATATTATCGATAGCTGTTGTTATATCTTCAACGGCAGCTTGAGAATACAGCTGTAGGTCATCAGCATACAGATGATACGCACTTCGAAGTTCAAGAGATAGGAGATTAATAAATATAGAAAAAAGCAAAGGGGAGGGACATCAGAGCCGACATGGCACCAACTCGAGGAGAGATCGTCGACACGAACGGACTGCTGGCATCCCCGAAGATAAGATGAGAACCATTCCTGCGCTTCGGACGAGATCATAAGATAGGAGAGGATGGACAAGAGAATATCGTGACTTACGGTGTTAAAGGCATTTGAGATGTCAACCAGAACTAGCACTGCCACTTTTGTGTCTTCCAAGGCCACCCTAATGTTGCCAGTCACACCTGCTCCACGCTGTGCCACAGTGCGCCAGGAGAGCAGTGGTAGTATAGCACTAGCTGCTTAAGTACACAGGCTTCAAGAATTTTGGAGAGGAATTTTAGGTAGAGGAATGATGTAAGCCTTACGCCAAAGTGAGGGGAAGGTTCCGGAGTATAACAAGTATTTGATGATATGGGAGATTGCTGGTAAGAGTTGCTCAAGGATAGTTATGATCATGCCCCTGCTAATTTGATCATAATCTTAATTCAACGACATATCTTTTCAGGTGGTAGCTCTCAGCGCGCTCTTGGCTGCTGCCAGTGCTGGTCTGCTTGGAAATGTCCATTCTTCAGCTGTCCATAACATCGTTATTCATGAGGCACCCATCCTCCAGGCTGCCCCTGCGATCCACTATGCTAACTCTGATGCTCACTACGATGCCCCAGTAATAAATCACGAGAGTCACGACACTTATGTAAGAACTAATCGTCTAATTTCGTTATTGTAATTCCAAGTTCCTTTAGATATTTTTAACACTTCCTTTAATACATTCCAGGCTCACCCTAAATATGACTTCTCCTACTCCGTGGCCGACCCTCACACCGGTGACCACAAGTCCCAACACGAGATCCGCGACGGTGACTCTGTCCATGGCTACTACTCTCTGCTCCAGCCTGACGGCTCTGTCCGTTCAGTCGAGTACTCCGCTAATGACCACAAGGGGTAAGTGATCATACTAAAATATTCACACAAAAAGTAAAATCTCACTGTGTATCAACTAACTATTGTATAATATACAACTACCAGTTGTGTGTACCGTAGTGGGTTGTGTAACGGACTTCTAAGCTAAAAGTCACGGGTTCGATTTCTGCTCAAGTCAAACATTTTTGTGCATGAACATTTTAATGTTTGATTTAGTCTGGGTATTTCTATGTATAATTTGTAAGTATTTACAAAAAAAACTGTATATGGACTTGTATCAGTTGTTAGCCATAGTACATGCTCCGCGTAGCCATTAAGTGAGAATATGGTAGAAAGGAGGCTTTGTGAGAATGTGGTAGAATATTACTTTTTTATTATTGGTTGTTCGTTTCAGATTCAACGCCGTGGTACACAACTCCGCCCCCTCCGTACACCCTGCTCCCCAGCACGGTAATGGTTACCATCATTAATTCTGGTCTGGTCTATCTGGTCTTAAGTCTATAATGTTTCTAAGTATTTATTATTTTTCATGAGACGACTGAAGTATGTGATATGAATGTATTGTAAATAAAATATAGTTTTGTATTTTATCTATTATTTTTTTCTACAATTCCTTCATTCTACAGTTCCTCTTTAAAATTTATTAGAAATTCGTAGACAATCACATTTTAAATATTTTTATCTTTACTAATAGTTAATCCAATATTATATTTAGAGAAACATAATCTCATCTTGAAAGCCAAGCTTTCTAGTTTTTATATCTTGTTCTATGGTTAGTTTCAATGACTTTACAACCGGTGATGTAGGACACAACGATCGGGACAAAAGAGCGGGAACTGTTTTGATAATTTCTTTTACTCCCACATCTTGCTTACAGACAGGACTCCAGTCAGTGACGATATATTCAAAACCGTTTAAGCGTTATAATCCTTACATTAAGTAGCGTACATTTTTTTAAATGTTGGTAGTGAAATTTTGAAATGATTTATCCTATTATTATTGCTTGGTACTCACAGGCTGTACAAAATGCCTTTGAAGAGTTTGTTGCCTCCCATCCAGCTGATTTTCACAAGAATTGCATTGGCAGTTTATTGATGCCCATCAATAAACTGCCAGTGCAGTTTATTGATTACTTAATGCAGTTTATTGATGCCCATCAATAAACTGCCAATGCGTTGGCAAAGATGCGTCGATTGCATGGGTGATTACTTCGAATAACAGAAATAAAAAAGTTTGAAAAAATAAGTACTTTCACTTATTGCATACAAAACGGCAATTTCATAGGTAAAGACCTAATATATTGAAAATAACAACAAGTAGCACTGAATCAGCGATTGGTCATAATTTTAAAAGGTTTTTAAAATAGCTACTTTTGCTATCTACTATAATATGTATAGTTTAAGATTTTATATACACATATTATACACTAGCTGTACCTGCGCCACGCCTCAAAGTGACAAATTGTGGTTGCATTGATAAACAATGAGGAACAACGCAGACACGAAAAATTTGAAAAATAATAATTTTGAAGCGTTTTGTATATCGTGTTAAAATTTAAGCTCAATCGTTGCAGAACTTTTAGAGTTTTTGTACCGTACACAAACAAACTTAAAATTTATAGATTTATATAGATAGGAAAAATATATAGAAGATATCTGCTCCTCTTCTCCTCATTTAATCTGTGCTCCTCCGGAACGCTCTTCCTTCTTATACAGGAGTCAAAATAGCACCCAGTCGTCATTCATTCAAGATGACGCGGACGTTAAGAACTCTCCTCACAATAGTAGTGTAGCTGCATCATTATTAGATTATTACATCGTGCATAATATATACATATGCATACATAAATGCAGCTGAGTATTAATGTTCACGTAGGAATATTTATAAATTGCCTAATTTCCCTATTTTTTCACTTCTCTTTTCGTGTAAATGTATTACTAATCAAGACTTTTTAATTTACTTTAGAACTAGTACCCTTAATCAATAGTTTTTACACCACGCTGAAGTAGACTGGCAGAGATTGCTTGTAGCATTAAGCCCGTCATTGTATATTTTTGTTCATGCAGCCAGAAGACACACTACGTATTCTATGACCAGATGTTAATTTTGAGTTTCAGTTTTTTTAGATCGTTCATATTTAAATCATCAAAATTTGAGTGATTTTAAGATTCCATACATTTTGGACTGAGTCGAACACTCAATCCAGATCAAAAAAAATATGAAGTCTAGAGCATCAATAATAGTAAATGGTAATAGGAAAATTTAGGCCAACTAACAATGAAATAAAGCCCTTTTAATATTATAATACCTAACTATTTTAAAAAAAATATTTGCCTTAAAGTAGGTATTATAATGTTAAAACTATTTTGAAAGTAAAGTAACTGACTAGAGTCTTGCTGATCAGCCAGATGTGATATTCTAAAAAATAAACGTGATAAATGTCTCGTTTATAATAACTTAACAAGCAAAGATGACCATGGTAGCTTAAATCAATACATCATTGAAACCAGATCCAGAACAGTATAAAAAACTTTCTAAAACTAATTAAATTTGGAATTAGAGAAGTGGTTTGTAAAAATGCAGCTTTCAAGATCTAGTATATATAAATAAAACATTGAATTAGTCATTAAAAAATATAAAAATATTTAAAATGTATTCCATGAAATTCTAATCAATCGTAAGAGGGTCAGTTTTGGATTTCTAAATAGAATTTGTAGAAAAAACAAATAGATAAAAACTAAAATATATTTTATTAACTATACATTCATATTATCACATGGTTCAGTCGTCTCACACAAATAATAAACAGTAAGAAACATTACAGACTTAGTGGTGGTAATCATTTCCGTGATGGGGAGCAGGGTGTACGGAGGGGGCGGAGTTGTGTACAACGGCATTGAATCTGAAACGAATAACCAATAGTTAGTTGATGTAAAGTGAGTTCTTTTATCTTATTAAAAGGTTTTTTTAAATATGATCACTCACCCCTTGTGGTCATTAGCGGAATACTCGACTGAACGGACTGAGCCGTCAGGTTGGAGCAGAGAGTAGTAGCCATGGACAGAGTCACCGTCGCGGATCTCGTGTTGAGACTTGTGGTCACCGGTGTGAGGGTCGGCCACGGAGTATGAGAAGTCGTATTTAGGGTGAGCCTAAAGGTTTTAAAGAAAATAATGTAAATAATATGTAGAGTAACGTAACAAAAAGAAAATTCATATGACCATTACTTACGTAAGTGTCGTGGCTTTCGCTGTGAATTACTGGGGCACCGTAGTGGGCATCAGCATTGGCATAGTGGATCTCAGGGGCAGCATTGTGGACCGGTACATCATGATGAACGATGTTATGGTAAGCTGAAGAATGGGCATTCCCAAGCAGACCAGCGTTGGCAGCAGCCAAGAGCGCACTGAGAGCTAAGATCTGAAAGTATAAGAGCAGTGAATTAGCATACAATTTGGCTATGGGTAAGATTAGGAAATACCGAAAAATCTGTGATTAAAAATGTACTACACTTACTTTGCTGAACATTTTGGTGCAGTGATTAGCAAAGGTTAGTTTTGATTGATGTCTAAAACCCTGTCGTTTTTAGTTTTATAGTAATACTATTACAAATGTCAGCGGGTGGGGTAATTAAATATACGCGTGCATCTGTTGCATGTATTAAGGTCGTTGTTACTTTTTACATAGTCAGAATTTTATGTTATTAATTTCATATTTATATTAATTTTGTATGTTTTGGTCGGGTGTTAGGTGGGTCTAATGGGCGACCTTTAATATTTAATTATTTTTATTTATTTATGACTTCATGCATATCTACATCGGCGGACTTAATGCCTAAGGCATTCTCTGCCAGTCGACCGATTGGGCGATACAGAGAAAGAGTGAGGTAGGTGCATTTATGGGGAGAAATGATAGAATTCTTCTTCAGTACTATTTGTCCTTCGAATTGACGTATATAGGCAATTATATATTACTAGCTGACCCGCGCAACTTCGTCTGCGTCTCTCAATAGTAATAAATTTTCTCCGTTTTTGAAACATTCTTCATTGGTGCTCCGCTCCTATTGGTCTTAGCGTGATGATATATAGCCTATAGCCTTCCTCAATAAATGGGCTATCTAACACTGAAAGAATTTTTCAAATCGGACCACTAGTTCCTGAGATTAGCGCCTTCAAACAAACAAACAAACTCTTCAGCTTTATAATATTAGTTTAGATTATATTTATAGTATATATACCAGAACTAACACATTTACATATATATACATACGTACACATATACATATATATAAATATATATTGTATTATATATATATATATATGTGTATGTGTATATTTTATTTATATACACATACACACATAGATACATTAAAAAAAATATTATAACTGTGGGTGATGAATTAAGAGCCCGTTGATTCTGCCAACTCACTCAGCAACAGCTCCTTTACCTTCATCTTGAAAGAGTAACGGTTTGTAACTATCCTGACTTCGACTGGAAGCGCATTCCACAAGAGGATAGACTGAACAGAGAACGAAGAACCAACAAACCCGGTAGTGTGAGAAGGACAAAGTATAAGAAGGTTGTTAGAAGAACGAAGGTTTCTGTTATGGTTCTTGCATAATAGTTGAATTTTTGAAGTTAAATAAGTAGGAATAAATGGGGAATTGAGGATAGTATGCAGAGTTATGAGTGCGCGCATTTTTCTGAATTGACGAATTGGTAACCACCTAAGCTGGGAACGAAAACTAGAGACATGGTCATACTTACGAAGATTAAAGATAAATCTTTCAGACCAGTTATCAATCGTTTTAAGGTCTATGTTAATATTATCGATAGCTGTTGTTATATCTTCAACGGCAGCTTGAGAATACAGCTGTAGGTCATCAGCATACAGATGATTCGCACTTCGAAGTTCACGAGATAGGAGATTAATAAATATAGAAAAAAGCAAAGGGGAAAGTATACCGCCTTGAGGGACACCAGAGCCGACATGGCACCAACTCGAGGAGAGATCGTCAACACGAACGGACTGCTGGCATCCCCGAAGATAAGATGAGAACCATTCCTGCGCTTCGGACGAGATCATAAGATAGGAGAGGATGGACAAGAGAATATCGTGACTGACGGTGTTAAAGGCATTTGAGATGTCAACCAGAACTAGCACTGCCACTTTTGTATCTTCCAAGGCCACCCTAATGTTGCCAGTCACACCTGCTCCACGCTGTGCCACAGTGCGCCAGGCAGGAGAGCAGTGGTAGTATAGCACTAGCTGCTTAAGTACACAGGCTTCAAGAATTTTGGAGAGGAATTTTAGGTAGAGGAATGATGTAAGCTTTACGCCAAAGTGAGGGGAAGGTTCCGGAGTATAGCGAGTATTTGATGATATGGGAGAATGCTGGTAATAGTTGCTCAAGGATAGTTATGATCATGCCCCTGCTAATTTGATCGCAACCCACAGCGTTGGATTTAATGGACAGGATTATCTTTTTGATCTCGCCCTGCGCAACTGGAACAAATTGAAAAGAGTTGAGATTATGTGCATATTCTGAGCCTAAAGATTCCAGTACTGTTTCCATATATCGTAATTTACTTCTTTATTTAGAGAAGTTGATATCTTTTTGTTGTCGTAATGCATCATGGCGATAGATAATTAGTCTAAAAAGAGTATTTTAATGTGAAAATAAGAAGATAAAATTGCAATCAAATCTCGTTACGATGGCTAAAAAGATCAATATTTCATACTAAATTTGCGAAAATTGAGAAATTTGAAATACTTAAAAGTATTTGGAGAAGAAATCACAGAGCTAAAAAAACGATTACGGCGAATTGAGAACCTCCTCCTTTTTTTGAAGTCAGGAAGTCAAGGTTTTAATATATGGAACCTCTTCTTTACCGTTAGATTATGTTGTATAATATACGAGGCATGCCTTTTAAGTTTTTTCGTTTGAAGAAAAAACACAACTAGAACTTTATAGTACTTTTTATTGTTTTTCAAAGCATTCACCACGTAGCTTAATACACTTTTCCATTCGCTCAAACCAGTTATTATAGCATTTATTCCACTCTAAAGTGGGGGTGTTTTAAAATGGCTGACTTGAAAGCGTCGACGGCTTCTTCATCGGACTGGAACCTTTGACCACGAAGTCTTTTCTTAATTTTAGGAACTGTAAAGAAATCGTTAGGGCTTAGGACAGGACTGTATGGAGGATGGTCAGGAATTTCTACTTTTTTCTGCTTCAAATACTCAATCGTTTGACGAGCTTGCGGTGACACAGCGGTGTGAGCTTGCGTTGTCGTGGTGCAGGATGATGCGTCGCTTTGAGTTAGATTTTCGAAGTTCGGCGATGACTTGTGGTAAACAAACTGTGATATACCACTCTGCGTTAACCGTTCTACGATCTTCAAGTGCAATAGTCGCAACATGGTCGGTTTCTCCAACGAACGTGGCTACCATCTTCTATGAAGTGCTTCGAGAACGAACAACTTTAGTCGGCTTTGGCTCGTCTTGAAAGACCCAGATTGTAGATTGTTTTTTTTTAATCAGGCTCGTAGGCATAGATCCAAGATTCGTCACCACTAATGATGTTGTAGACGTGATTTGACTCTCCTCGGTTGAACCTTTGCAGAGTTTTTTTACACCATCTGGCGCGGGCCGCCCTGTGATCGTCGGAAAGCAGATGCGGTATCCAACGGCAAACTAGCTATCTCACACCAAGCGCTTCATGCAAGATCTTCTGAATGGTTGTCCCTGATATGCCTAATAGAGCCTCTGTCTCTCGATACGTCACATGACGATCTTTGAGAATTAGTTGTCTCACAGCAATGATGTTATCTTCAGTGAAGGCGGATTTTGGGCGTCCTTCGCGAGAATTGTCACTAACACTGGAATTCTAAATAACAGGGTTCGACAGTCCGCAGACATGTGGCTTCATCATTGAACACAGATGAAATCTTCAAAACACTGAAGCCGTGTCAGGCCTCTTCTAAAGTTGTAGAAAATTATTGCACGAACATTTTCCTTAGAAAGATTCATTTTCGTACGTAACCTGACAGATTCCAATCGACGCCGTGACTAAACAATAGCATTAATCCTAATACTTTCAACTGTTTTGAGATTCAAAATTTAAACACATTCGAATATGGAACAGTTCCAAATTCAAAATTGCCGGGAAATATGGAAACGACAGAACTTAAAAGGTATGCCTAGTAATCATAGTCTTATACAATGACAGTTCAAGTTTTATGAATTTCACACTTCAAAATTATCTGCAGCAGTACTTTTGCGTCTGCTATTATCCTCTTGGTGGTCAATTTAGTTACTACTGGATCTAATAGCTTATTTCTAATAGAAGACAAGGATAAAATAACACAATCTAATTCTTTTATACTGCCATTTCTTTTAAGGAATGTAAGAATCCAAAGAAAAATATAGATAATTTTTCAGTTTCTCAAAAACAATTTATAGTTTTCCCAGACAATTATCATGCTTTGTTATAAAATTTGTTATAAATTCTAATCAAGGAATAGAAAAAAAGCACTGTAAGAAATTGACAAGTTGGTTGGCTTGGATCATGTAATTTTTTTGTTACTTCCTCATAGCTACCCGACCATGGAGATTAATCTTCATACAAAAAAAAACACTTACGCTTTATGTATACCCCTACTTTACGTTATGTATACTTTAGGTTAAGTGTAGCGCATTGCAACACTTTCCTTATAGTTCAGATTAACATTAGGAATTTCTTGCGTATCTTTCAATTTTAAGTAACTTAAATAAAATTAAAAAATATTAAATTCACTGCAATATTTTATTATGTAGAAAGAAGGTAATTAGATGCTTTTGCTTAAAACATACATAATTAGGTAAATAGTTTCATTAAAGATGTTGTAAGCAAGTACATATATGTTAACGAAACTAGCAATCATAATAAAAAAGATAAAAATAATTAATTGCTTTAAACATAGAACAAATACTATTTCTTCTTATTCGGAAATTCTGTTTGCACTTCTTTCCTCTCCATTTCTACCGGTTTTCCGCATTGCGAGCACATTCGATTTGGTCGTAGTTTGGGATGATCCAGCGGGTTTGGGACAGATCCCAAGGTCTTGTCCCCTTGCACTACAAGTCGCGCCATCGAATCCTTTTTTCTAAAGATGTGCTCAAAGAACTTCAGTATTACAATATTATAGTAAATAACATATTATAAGTCAGAACTCAGTGACACTTTTTAAAATTACATAACCGTTACTTAACATTAAAACTAATCTTTTCGGAAAACAAATCATTATCAACTCATTGTCAATGAAACCACATAAACCTTTACCTTCAAAAACTGTTTATTGTTTTTCGTCATAAGAATAACGTGTAAATATTAATTGTGTTTTTTATTTAATTGGTAACTGTTCCAAGACCAATCAACGCTCTCTTAATAGAGGCAAATTTGTTTTAACCTTGATTGTTTTTCGATCAGCCCAACTTAAATTGCCGCATTCTCGAAAATAATCAATAAATGATTCCAATTTAAAAAGGGGTTTTTAAAATATTAATATTTTGGTTTGCCTTACTTAACTAGGTAAATAAACTCTTAGTAGAATCGTAAAGGAAGCTAACGAAGACTATACGATGGAAAGTTCACGGCTCTGCTTCATCATCATCACCTTCTTGCCCTTTTCCGAAATTTATTTGGGATCGGCGCAACGAGTTTTCTTCTTCTATTCTCCATCATTACTCGTCAGTTTACTGCTTACTCTTTTCAGCGATATCTTCTAAAACGCAATCCATTCATCTTTTCTTTGGTCGTCCTCTAATCTTACATCCGTGAACTTCCATACATCAAACTTTCGCACCAACATTTTAGTCATTCATAGTACAATCTCTTCTTTCACGTCTTCGAAATATCCTTCTTTCACGTCTAAGCTGAATAAAAAACAATTGTAAGTCGAAAGTCGAATGTTGCACATTTTTAAACGAAGAACCTCATAGGTATCATGTGAAAAAAAGTTTCACACAAAAATCTCATACCGTAAAGGTTTTATGTCAATTCAAATTATCTTTTACTATACAACGGCAATTTCATACTTTACCCCCTTATTCCTACCGCGTTAGTACCCCTATTATTCGTTTAATATTACTTACCTACTCGTGAATCCAAAAAGTGATCAGAAGAATACCATTAAAACCTATATTTTAATTTAATTTTTTATTTATTTCCCCTAATTTACTCTGTTTTACTTTTGTTTCTGTGTTAAACAATTTGTAACACACATTCTAATACTTGATATAAATTGGATTTGGAAAATGGTAGAGCTTATACGAGTCTATAAAAGCAATAAATAGATATATGTTAACAATTATAAACACCGTCCTATGCTTTCATTCTACTCATATTTTTTTAAATTGTCTCTTGAACCACTTTTAATTGGACCATTTTTCTTTAAAACAAATACTTTTTGCAAATACTTTCGAGAACTAAAAAATAGCCGATTTTCGAACTATTTGGCCAAATAAAAGTATGACGCGTATCTCAGTTTTTGTGGAGACTTTAGGATATAACTATACATCCTTTTTTCTTAATTTTAAGACAAATTTCGGATTGATGGCATCGACCACCACTCTCATTTTCCTTGGACCACGACTAGAGTAATAGTTGAATAGAAGAAACATGATCATAAGACTAAATAAAGTGAAATATCAATTAAGATGCAAAATTGCTCATAATACTATCTACAATCTGCTTATTTTTTTATAAAGCTCTGATTATAAACTTTCTCTTACATAATTATCATTTAACCATACAGTAATCATAGTTAGGTTAAAAAGATTTACAATAATCGGAACCATGAAGTTATATATTTGTGACGATGCTCGGTCGTGAGTTTTACTCGTTTGGTTTTTAGTTTTTAAATAAATTACAATTAGGTTCTAAATACGGCGGTAGCCTAGTGGATAAGGCTTTTCACTTGCGATCAAGAAGTCGTGGGCTCGAATCCTGACCAGTACACTACCGACGTGAACCCACTCCTAGCACAAGCAATTAAGCTTAGCTGGAGGGGTTACCACGAATACTAGTAATTTCGGTTGCTAGTTAACCTTTAAAAAAAAGGTCATTTCGATATTTTGAGCTACAATTCAAAATAAACATAAATATTAATAGTTTGATTAGACTATAGACATAAACTACGGACAAAAAGTCTTGTTTCAGCAGGTTAGAACTGGCTCTTTAAAGCGTAATATGCATGCGTACAAAACTACTGAAGTGAATTTAACGCTGAGAAGGCAAAGAACATAAACATTTTCAACCTTTAAAAATCTATAAGTACTACAGGGTAGAATTTGAAATATTGCATCTAATTGTTACTATTATCTAATTGTTGAACTATAACATTTTTTATCAAAATTAAACCGAAACTACGTGATTGTTGAGTTTTTATATCATTCAATCTGGAGATCACGTAGTACTACAGAGTACGACCTTGCTATTATATAACCATTTATACGATGCTTTGGCATTCGATACGATCGTTCAGAAAACAACCTCGATCGATGCTCACTTGTGTCATGTCACTAGACCAGTGAGCCTAATGCATTTATTTCAATACTCTAATGGGACAAACGAGCAGCCAGGTCAATACGGGAAAAAGACGAGAATAAGGGACAGGGGTAGACTTTCGACGCCGGTGATCTCACTCACTCGGTGAAGAACAACTAAAGAACTGCTGAACACTAGTTTTCTTCCGAAGCAAAGCTCTTGATAAAAAGTAGTTAAAAGCAGACTTATACATATTGCCTAATAACTATTAATAAAAAAAACTTGAAACAAACCCATACCAACCCATCTGGTCAGCGTAGTATAATAGACCAAAACTTCCTTTCTAAGAAGAGGCCTACGTCCAGCAGTGGACTATTAAAGGCCATGACAGATGGCAGATCTTCAGATTTCAGAACGAATGGCGTAGTGGTTTAAGCGGTCACCACGCCGCTTACTACTACGCCGAGTGTTGTGGGTCCGATCCCCACATAGGACGACACTTTGTGTGATCCACAAATTGTTGTTCTGAGTCTGAGTGTTCTTTGTGTCATGTATGTTTGTAAAGTCCTCCGCGACACAGGATGTGTACCCAATTCGAGAGTTGTCTTTTTAAAAATAAAAATTGTATAGGGGTACAATTACTATGGAGGTTACAGGTAAGACAAAAGAGGGAAACGATAAAACAGCAAAAAAGGAAAGAAATTTTGATGGCATTGGAACCTAAAAACACTTTCATGTGCTTCATAGTTTAGTTTTTTTTTTTCAACATTTAAGAAGTATGCCAATCAAAATATTTAAGCACCAAGGACCCTATATATGTTTACTAACTCTCGCGACGGATCTAAAAAAGTATTTACCATAATTTATCTGATGTTCTTTATCCGATTTTCTTCGAAAATTGATTTGGAATTTAATACAAGTTTCAAACGAAAGAAAGATCGTCAAAGTCGATTTAGACTTTGACGATCTTTAAGGTAGTAAGCTAACGGGTCTGATGATATTATAGAATAGAAGACTAGATGAATAGAGATAGTAGAATATATAATAGAAACATTATTACGAAATTCTTTAAAACATACTCACGCCTCATCCACCATCTACCACAATCATGATGTACAGCTCGTGACTATTCAACTTTCCTCAATCCTTTACTCTCCGATTTACTGCCTCGATACACAAGCAATCTAGTCAGTACATTTCTTTAGGAGCCAGACTGCACCGGCTTATCAAATTCATCTCCTTCATAAACAGTGAAACTGAAAACTTTTATTCAGGCGTGCTGGTTTTTTTTGTGTTAAAACAAAATGCTAGATGGAATATACAGCGGTTATCGATACCATGACACATATTTCGTTTCTATAATCGTTTTTTTAAGTTGACCTTAACTATCGTCATTGTCGCGAGGTGCGCATGTTGTGGTTGTCCCACTTGTTCTTATTCACTTTAAACTTATATAAAAACCACGGCCAGCGTCAACTGTAATCAATCAACGATTAACTTCAATCGATATCACATCAAAATGTTCAGCAAAGTACGTATTAGTGTCGTTATTATTCCCAAGATTATTCAATACATAGAAGTAAATCGAAAAAATTATCAGTGTGCTTTACTTTAGAAAAGATTTGTAGAGTTTTATTGAAAAGAGTCTAATAAACAGTGGTAAATTGGTGTTTTACCCTTATTCTTTGTCCAGCTTTTAGCTTTTGGTGCCTTGTTGGCAGCGGCGCATGGCTATGGGCATGCCATTTCATCCCAGAGCATAGTGCGCCAGGTAGGAGCCTACGCACCTCTGGGACAATATGCGGGTCTATATGCAGCCCCATATGCCGTACCATACGTAGCCAATTACGCCGTACCACTCCCTTATGCTGCCCCCGTAGCCTACGCTAATCATGATGAGGAAGAATATGATGGTCACGACGAACAGGTGAGTTGATCACAATAATTATTTTGTAATTAGGCTGTGTTGAAAAAAAAACATAGATTTAACTGTTTTTTTATTTATTAGATACAGAAACAGACATGTAATAGGCATAAGATCAGTAATTATTATACTGCAAATTTCAAACCGAGACTACCAAAGAGTATATTGTAAATCCATCACTTTAAAAATAAGTTACTTCAAGCTTAGTTCGACTGTCTACCTCCTGGCTTTCGTGTTCGTGTTACACTTGCACATTCCTGACGGTAAAACCCGTGACATTCTGACTGTAGTAGAGAGTAGAAGTATTAGACCGTAGTACTCGTTTTATTTAATAAACAAAACAATCGAAATTGCTTTTGCTTGATAAATAAAACGAGTACTTTTGTACATACTTCAATTTCTCAAGATTGTTCTAAATTCAAAAATCTGATTAACATCGGCATCTTTGCAAAAAAAAAACATACTAGCCTATTTCTGCAGTTGCACTTGCATTAATAACTACTGTTCCGCTCCTAATTTATAATAAAAAAATGATGTCCACAAGTAAGAACAATCCATTTATCATTGTACCACCTGTCTTAATTTATTTTTATGTGTGCGACATTCCAGGCTCATCCCAAATACGACTTTGCCTATTCTGTGTCCGACCCACACACTGGTGACCATAAATCGCAGCACGAGAGTCGCGACGGTGATGCTGTTCACGGCAGTTACTCCCTGGTTCAGCCTGATGGTTCTGTCCGAGAAGTAGAATATACTGCTGATGACCACAACGGGTAAGCAAGATGAGAGAAACAAAATTCGACACTAAAAGCACTCACAACATATGAACTGTGACTCGCTTACTGCACCTAAGACCTCTAAAAATCGGCGACTAAAATGTCATGCTAAAGTGAATTGCATAAATTTGAAACAAGTATTAATTAATTGTTCGTAAACAAAAGATTGCGTATTATGGCTTAGGTTGTTGTTTATGTTTTGTGCATATTTGTCGAGAGAGTTATTTTTGCTCATACTGTCCATTGTAGTTTATTGAAGTGAATATGTTGAGTGTACAGTAGATCTTCAATTAACGTGTAAAAATGCAGTCATAAAATGCTCAACTCATTTAATTATCTAAGAACAGATCATTTTAGTATTAACACAGATAATATATAATAATGTATACATATGTACAACTTTATCATACATTTTAGAATAAAAAATAATATTGTATGTACAATATTATTTGTTATTCTAAAATGCTAGCAAGCAACTTTTATTATTGGTTTGCATTATAGTCAAGGACTTCTAATGTAAGTACAGATTACAGTACCTCTTGAGGTTAACCAACTCATTTTACTAACAATGAAATTATCGAAATCAGTTAAATTATTTGGTATGTATTTTTACATAATAAGTTTATATAACTAAATATCAAACATGTTGTGTATTTCTTTTATAAATCATTTCATAATTTGGTGCAAATTGCGCAGATTATTTGAGGTCACATTTAATTTGTCATATATGTGCACACTAACTATTTAACCTTCTCAAAATTGAACGGAGTTACGACAAGCCTAACTTTTAAACTGGAAACCGGCAAAACTTGTACTTTAAGGATATTATTTTAATGTTGTCTTCTTGTTTCAGTTTCAACGCCGTGGTACATACCTCCGTTGTACATCACGAACCTGCCTACCAATATTGATTACATCATACGTCTAATGATATAAATAATACAATAAATGTTTCCTATTCAAATGTAATTTATTAAATAATGTACAAGTAATATTTTTTTTTAAATAATTTTTCCTACGTTATCAGTATTAGAATAGAAAATGAACATCATTTTCACAGATCAAAATGTAAGATCAACAATACTCTCAAACTTATGTGACCTAGGTACTGAATCATATGTAATGGTTCCATACCTAAGTCACATAAGTTGCTATTTTGTAAGAGAGCATTAGACACGGTAGTCTACCAAGTGAGTAATGACACGTCTAAGTTCAAAAGAATAAGAGTAATATTGTCCAGACCTGCTATCAAAAAACTAAAATATAGGTAGAGTATGTTAACCTTCGAAAGTTCGAGGAAGTAAGTAACAGAGTTGATCATGCCTCCTCTAATATGATAATATCCCGGGATTTATGCATTTGCAATCCAGGGATTGCGTTTTGAATACATTTGAATTAAATTATTACGAGTATATAGAAGAATCTTATTATATTTTTGGAGTTCCGTACTAAAACAGTTAAATTAGGTTAAGATACTCTACCTATTCCGATCCTTGGTTATAAAGTTCGTCTTTATCTTCTCATGATTATTAACACTGGCCAGAAGGCTGTCTTTGACGGGTTATTATCAATCTTATCAAGAGACCACTCCATCGAAAAGTTAAGGTCAGACTTTGATCAAAGATAAAATTAAAAATGAATAATAATAGTTGGGCTAAGGACAAAATAGATATGTCAATTAATAATGAACTGTTGAGAGTACCGAGTTCATGGTTCAAGTGTTTACTTGTACAGAACCCTTTTTTGGTGGCCGGGTGGAAAACCCTTGTGGTGGTGGTGGTTGTTCTATGTAGTGTTTGTACTAAAAACCACACCGGCCGGCCTCAGGAGCCCTAGTCTGGAGAGGACCCAGACCATGTGATTTCAAGTCCTCCCTAAATAGACACCACGCCTAAGCAGGCCCTATCCCGGAGAAGCTGCAACCTCCCCCCCCCGATCAGAACCTGATCAGAACCCTGCAATACCTACAGAACCTAAGATTTTGTAAAGAGAAACACTGACATTCGTAAGAATTGTTATTGTTAGTAAAAATACAAGGCAAACAAGAGAAAGAAATAACACTCGAGAATATGAAACTGATTTGCGCACTGCGAATTCCACGCATACATGTAGGTACGTATGTTGATAAATAAAATTGAAAATTCGAAAATTGAATCGGAAATTTATTCTTAGAGATTTTTTGCGTTTTTCTGCGTAACCAACGTAACTTTGTTGTTCTAAAAAACACCTCTCATAGATCGATAGATCACAACGAATTTTTCAAGTGCATAATAAATTTTATAATAGCGAAAAACGACTGATTGATTAGCCTAAAACTGGTTTTCTGTGAGGTCATCATAATGTGCCGAAGCGAGGCTCTTCCTAATTTTATTATGATGACAAGAAAATCCAGTTTTTTTTTCTTGAAATTTCATATAAAAGAATTGACCTATTCTTTTATGCAAGGAAATTAAAATAAATAGAAATAGACCATACTTAGTAATTGACGCGACGCGATGCAGCAGAAATGTACTCGTCTTAGAGCTGCCCAATAGAAGCAATTTAGCAACCCTTCTACAAGAATTTAATAGCGTGCCTCCTTTAAAAAAAAAACAATGTTTAGAGGAACTTTCAACTCTTTGACAGTTTAAAAATAATGGGGCGGTGTTTAAAACTAATTTTATAAAGTTATAACAAGCTTGTTGTACCTGCATGCAACCGACCATTACATATAAACTTATTCATCATTTTTGTAATTTTCGCTTGTGTAAGACTACCACGCATTAATTTTAATGCATAATTTACCTTCAGTTACAGTACAGTTATGTCTATTTACCTGTTTAATTATATCTGCATAATTATGAATAGAGTAAAAAAAATGGCCAAGTTCCAAATAGGGTTGGCCTACAAAGGCGTTAATGTTCGTAATTTTTTTTTTTTTAAATAATTCAATAATTTATGATCCAATTTATGATCCAAGTACTCAAAAGTGCCGGTTAAAAAGACTTAAACTTAATAACGTTACCGTATTGGTCAAATTATCTCGTCACTAACATATTCCAGCTACGTATTTTCTACTTAATATTACCATTCTAATACAGTTTCAAGGGGTGAGAATACCCTCACAACAAACAATACAAACGCAAATCTTGCAAATGTAGAAATAAACAACATTCACCATTACGCGTACAGTACTACGCTGCTAGTACGCTAATTTGTGCTCACACGCTGTACGTAGTACATAAAAAAAGATAAAAGTTTATCTCTTAAATCTTGACGAAACACAAATTATAACACTTGGGGCCGTATTTTAAGGTGTCTCAGTCGTGAACCTAGACTTAAAATTAATTTAAAGTAAAGATTTTATTATTGAACGTCACTTAAAACGAGATTCACCGATCCATACTCAAGTAAGTGATACCTTATTTTAAAACGATGATTATATCGATATCAATATTGGGTATTAATTTTGACAGATGTGATCTTTGTTTACGTGAGACAAGCTGAAACTAGTCTCAAGCGCGTTCTAGGGCATTTTAGGGGAAATGAATGTGTTTGATGATGATTTGTTTCTTAATAATAACGAAAGATTTAATTACACTTTTTATATAAAATTCACTGATATCCACATTTTAAACACACAATACTTGTTTAAATTAAAATCACCACACCCTCTTGGTTTATGTTAAAAGTATAACACATTATTATTCAAGTAATATCCATTTAAAAAAATAAAAACATTGTTTGACAATTCAACATGACAAGTGGTGATAAATAACTTTTAATGTTTAAATTTTTTATTTTAATATTTATTATATTTAATTTTGGACGAACAACGAGCTTGTTAATATGTTTACATTGTTAGACCAGCCAATAGTATACTGTATACAAATTCAGAGAAATTGTATACAGTATACTATTAATAATAATGTCGATCATGCGGTAATTGAGAACAGGCTTTAAGTACAAATCAATACTTGAGAGTAGTTTCAACTGAGTAAAACTTAAAACGCGTTCTATAATAAGATCGAAGCTTTAGTTTTGATCTGAAATTAAAACCAATTTAATCAGGTTAATATATAAATGGGGTTTAATTTATAATAATATATAAGTATTTTGAGGCACAATATTGTGTTCAGATGATCGCAAAATATCGACATCTGCCGCCAAACACGAACAACATCGATAATTAGAATAGTTCTGAGCTACTATTTATATGTGTACTCTATTTTAAAAATCATTTACATCATGGTAGGTAACAGTACCAAGATTGCTGCAATTAATATATTTATTACTATCACCAAAATCGAGACCGAATAGACCCTTAGAAACTTTTTAATACCTAATAAACATTTAACACATTTGCGCTATTTATAACAGATGCGTCTCGACATTTCTGTTATTTAAATAGAAACGTAAAACAGAGCTTACCTAAACGTGTTATGCGTGACCGAGTTCCACTTCGATGCCACAACAACGATGATATAATTGTACTTTTATAGTGTCATTACAACTACGAATAATTAACAGTTAAAATAAATCGTATTATCTTAACGCACTAGACGCGCTTTTCCAGAAATGATGCACCTAAATAAATAATACTACAAAAAAATTTACAATAACATATCATTGTGCCCATTGACCTAGTATAACAAAGTATACTATAGCAGTTCACAGGTATTTACATTAAGTAACAATCATTTTGATAATGTAGCGCGAGAATGTCGAAGACAAAGCGCAGTGACCTTGCTGCGCGGGGACGAGTTCGGAGGCTTTCGGCGCCCCACCGGACCACAGCCAATTCTTATAAAACCCACTACCTGTAATCACATGTACGTCAGTCACGCACTACTACCCGGTACAAAAATGTTCACTAAAGTAAGTCAAGTTCTCGTGTTTTTTTTAAATAGAATGTCAAACTTGAAAATAAAATTTGTTCCTCTTATCTTGCAGATCTTAGCTCTTGGTGCTATAGCAGCGGTGGCACAGGCTGGTAACCTGGGATATGGTCATGGAGATTACGTGGTGTCTTCTCAGCACAACTTAGTGCACCACGATGCTCACTACGCCGCGTCTCCCCTTGGCCATTCTGCCCCTATTGTTCACGCCGCTCCCATCGTTCACGCCGCTCCCATCGTTCACGCCGCCCCCGTCTACGCTGCTGCTCCCGTCGCCGCTCACGGAAGCTACTATGGTGGTCACGGACATGAAGACTATTATGTGCGTATATAATTTTTGATTTAATCGAAATGAGCAATAAGGAAGGAAGTAAAGAGATTTAAATCTCAATTATACATCAGAGTTATGGTCAAGATTTGTTCTCATTGCAAAAGTTTTTTCTAAACAATAAAACCGATACTTGACTATTGTCATAAATTAGAATGACGTAGCTCGGGCGATTGGTTATCCACATCTGCCATATAAATCGGTAAAGGATTTGTTTATAGATAGAAAGCTTCCCAGCCAGATAGACTAATGACCTAAAAAAGGTAGTTTGAAGAGATTTGATGAGGAAGGTAGATCCAGAGAATTACAACACTGGACTGTAATAGTCTGATGCATTGATCCAACATCTTAGACTTCGACAGACTATTACATAAATAACTAGCTGTACCCTGTTCGCTGTGGTTGCACAAATGTAGAATAAAGAACAAAACTAACACAAAAAGTGTATATCTTGTCTTAATTTAAGCTCAATCGGTTCAGAACTTTTCGAGTTTTTGAAGCGTACACAAACCAACTTAATGTTTTTATATATTTAGATATAAGAAATACGGTGTACTTCGAACACCATATGACCATCATTTGAACAGTAAAACTTTAATGCTTCTTAACTAATAATCACAATTTATACATAGAGAGACACATCGATTAAAATAGTGTTAGTAATTTTTATCGGAAAATAATTTTACATTTTCTTTATTCCAGGCTCACCCCAAATACAAGTACTCGTACTCCGTTGAAGACCCCCACACCGGTGACCACAAGTCCCAACACGAGGTGCGTGACGGAGACGTCGTGAAAGGAGAATACTCTCTGCTTCAACCTGATGGCTCTTTCCGCAAGGTCTCCTACTCTGCTGACGACCATAATGGGTATGTTTAAATTAGTTTTTTTGGACATATAAACAATTAACTAATTGTGTACCAATTATTATAAGGCACAGTTGTAATGCTAATCATGAGTTACATGCTACTTACTTTGTTTAGTAGGCATATAATCATTTGAAAACTATACGCCTTAGCGCCTCCTAATTAGTAGAATACATCATTATAAGATGAAATGTTTTTATTCAGCTATTTCGATCGGTTTTTAGCTTATACACCCCATAGTATATAGTTCTGTACGTATATTTTAAGCACATAAACTTATTTACAACAGATAGACAGCCTGTAATGTATATACTATCTTCTTGATTTCATTTAATAGTTAACAATCGCAAAATCTTCTATCGTAGCGCTAAGATTTCTAACACAAACCCCATACGTGCTGATATACCAATAGATAAGTGCGCAACTTTCCCGCAATTGCGCAAAACATAGAATGACCGGACAGATTTGTTATTACTTCCGTCAAGCTTTATTTGTACTCGCGTAGACGTAACTTACATCGTATTAAGTCATATGGTGGTCAAACCGGTAAATCGTCGTCTAGTAACGTATGAGTAATGCACGCGTGCGAACTATGTGAACTTGCTGTAATGCGTCAACAAGTCCCAATTAAACAGGTGTCGAGACAAACTGGTTACGGTACTAGTTCCGACTTGTGAAGTCATTATCATAACCATTTATCATTGTGACTGAATATATTAAATAGTAACCTTTTGTGTGAAGTTTAACTATTTCGTCGATGCTAAAGCTTTTAAAAGCAGAGGTACTTATCTCAGGAACTACAAGATCGAAAAACAAAATTGTTTATGTGCTGTATAGCACATCCATCGAGGAAGGCTATATAACATCACGCTAAGACCAATTGGAGCCCAATAGGAGGAGGAGAAAAATGTTGCAAAAAACGGGAAAAAATTATCTTTGCACAGCGTGTCAACTAGTTTAAATTAATTCTAATTTGAGGACCGACTAACGCTAATTAAATATGTGTAGACATCCTAAGTTATTTTAGTAAGTAAGTAAGTTATTTATGTGTAATCCAGTGATTGAGCGTAATATACACCATGGTATATATTACCATCGACTAATAGCTGGACTTTGCGTAGATCGAAACCTATACTTGAACTTATACTACCTATACTTTAACCTTGTATCTTATAACATCATTCTATTTTATCACTGACATAATCTGTTACTTTTATTCTACTTTCAGTTTCAACGCGGTAGTCCACAACTCCGGCCCCAGCCACCATATCTACTCATCTCAGTACCATCATTAGATCTCTTCTTCGCAGAAGCATTAAGCCACAATGTAAATTATATATATGTATATTTATTCTAGCTGTGATCATCATGTACTATGTACTTTTATTTTAAAAATAGTCATTAAAATAACCATGAAAATTAGCTTGACTTTTCACTTTCAATTCATACTCCTGGGAAATACCCGTTAGGTCAACCGATTTTATATACCACTTATAGGCCTCATGCTAGTTCATCACCGACGCGTGGTATAAAAAAGCATGCATGCATGCATGTGTTTCTCCAATTTAAAGAATATTGACATATGTAAATACAAAGTAGGTAATTTGAATTAGTTTCACGTTTTGATACCGAGCGATGATACATACAGACTCGCTAGTCTTTTAAAACCCAAGTTATCTTACATGTTTTAATGACCAAAAAATTATAACGTCTGTCATGTCAATGTGTATTGACATGTTAAGTTACTTGGCAAATAACGAACAAAAGTCACATGTCAACGGTTGTGCAACATTTGGTTAAAAAATTTAACGCTTTTGGTTTTAATAACTTTGAAAACTAGATGTAAGAAATAAGTAACGTACTTAGAAGCTACTTGAACTTTTTTCCAATTAACACATAACACTTACTATGCCTCCACTTTGCCTGTCTCAGGAGAGCAAATGTTTTTTTTTTTAATAGTAGTTTAATACTAAATTGCTATTAAAATTTAATCATTTATAATAGGTATATGATCGAAGAACATTGGGAATAAAATTGGTTACATTAAAAGAAAAAGTTAGTAATGAAGGTTAAGCACAGAAGGGAAAAGTATATTTCTTATCAGGTGGATTGGGGAATGTAAGTAACGTCTCGTGAAGGTCAGGGTCTCACTGTAACTTAAAATGACTGCCGAAAACTACGAGTGTCCTCACTTGACTTATCAATGTGTATTTATAACACTACTATAAGTATATTATTTACCTAATTTACCTTAAGAATTAATAGTTATTTAATACTAGTAAGTTAAGTATTTAGCTGTTATAGACTTATTACATTCCTAGTGTATTACAGAATACTAAAACTCGTTACCCGCGTTGCGACAGTTTTGCCTTTCTAGGGACTTGCAAATCCAACAATCTATCGAAAGCTATTTAGCTGTCGAATACCTATTAGAACAATAATAATATTTAATTTGCACCCACTATTAACCCTACACAAATAACATGCACTTTTGAGGCTTAACCCTTTGACAACATTTCACACATAACATACTATTAAATTCAACATCAAAAGCATCTACGATTATTAAATCATGTTCTCTCCTAATTATTGATTTATTCCCCTTCACTAATAAATCAATATAACATACTTGCATTATACAATTACATTCCCAAATGTTAATATTATGTTATTAGTCTTTTGTACTGTATAAGTTATTCTTTTAGAGGTCGTAGTCGAATGTTACTTGCAAAGGCTTTCCCTGACCTTGAAATGTATTATATGTGTTCGGTCTTATAATCTGAGTTCTGCTCTTTAATAAAACCTATTATGTGCCTTTGCGTAATAGATTTAATAAATAAATTTATACCACTATGAAATCGAACTTCTAGGCATCTCTCGACTACTATCAACTTAATATACTAGCTAAGATTATGATCAACATACCTTTGCTACAGATACTTCTATGTGTAAGTTTAGAATAGCGAGATTAATCGGATCATGGTCAATTTTTATCTGTAATATCTGAATAATCATGATTTTGCATGTATGTATGTTTATGCTTATGTAATCGCTTTAAAACAGGAAGAATAAAAATTATTATTATAGGTTGTGGGAGTTGTTTTTAAATGTAAATAAGACTAGCCCTTATATGCGGAGCATGCCTTGAAAAAAGTGTTCTCAACTCTCTGTACAGACCCTTTGACTAATACAACAGAGATCCTTTTGGCGTTTGTATTAGAGATTATTATTCATAGTTTTTTTTTATACCCATAGCTCTATAACATTTTGCTGACTCACTCAGGTGTTATAAATTATACAGGACTTTTACTTTACTGGCTGCTCATTTCTAAACATCACTAGGAGGTGATTAGTGAGAATGCTTCAGTAGGCATTTTCACTTGATGCCGCACACATTAAATACATTTAAATAGGAGTGGTAGTAGGTAAAAATAAGTAGGGAATCCTAGCTATTGAATCTTAAGTAGAGGTATCTTGATACCCTCATTCTCGTTCTTGAAGTTAAGTAAACATTACCTCCCGATTTACACAACATAGGCACATCTTAAAGCAGCAATGCGCAGAGTATTTTAAATTCTTTAATTGATCTGCGGTCCTTGGTTGGTCCAAACTTAAATTCAAAATATCTTTGGATTCCTTTCAGATTCCTAAATTACTAATAACTTAAACGGCTCGGCTGTTTTTATGTTATAAAGGCAGACCTCATCATCTGTTTTTGGGAATTAGAGTGTAATACGTAAATGATTTACACATTGCCAGTAAAACCTTGGTTATCTGATCTGAGCACATTATATCATTTACGCAAACTTAATTTTGTAAGTTGTCACTCTCTTGCACTAGTCATATCGTTAAGCCCTACGTTTTATTACCAATCGTGACTAAACAGGCGCCTTGAGATATCTTGATTGTCTCAAAATCTCAAGCTCAAGCTAACCTAACCGAGCAGCGTCTTACGGCAAGTTGGCAAACTTCATCTCTTTTTAACCTTAAAACTACTAGTTTGGCTTATAACTAGTTGTATTTTATACCCTAATAGAAACTAATATAAGTATTTTTATTGATTCCTTAATCCTGCGTACTATGTGAAAAAAGAAATAAATAATTTTTTGCAGTTACTTAAACTGCAAAAAATATTTTTTAGCATTATTTTTAAGTTTCATTTTAGTTGCAGATACAAACCCAACGATGTTTTAAAACACATCTAAGGTTTTTCAGTAATCTCTCATATGTAGTAAGGTAATTTTTAAGCATGTAGTATGAGCAAATAAATATCACATCACATCAACAGCCCTTTAATAGTCCACTGCTGGACATAGGCCTCTCCTTAGTACCTGGCCTTGGCCTACTTCACCACGCTGGCCAGACGGGTTGGTATAGACATATAGACAGATAAATATAGACTTTTCTAATTCAAAATTCACGCTGAGAACGATCCCCAAAGAAATACTGTGTTTGAGATAACTATTTATTCTATCTCTATCTAGATATTTCGCAGTGAACTAAAACCCGGTGATTACTAAAGCATGCGAAAGGAGTGAGATATTTCCACCAAAATAAAGAGTACATCTTCTCTTTCCCAAAAATTTTATCGAGATTAAATCTACTTTCTTTAATATGTTTTAGTTGATATTTAATTGAATGTTTTACTAAATATATCGTCAATACTGTTGTAGCTTAAACATACCTCCCCTTCCTCATACCAAGACAATGATTAACCAATCTATAATACCCGGGTGATGTTAAATGAAACCTATAATTTCTTGGCGCTGCAATACTTACTGTTAACGCCTCTGTCACAGACACAACTTACTTGTCTTACAAGTTTACCATGCCATAAGCAACAAGTTTTATTGACTATTAGATATACTGCTTTTATAACATTCACTCTCAACTGCTGGTATTGCACTCATTTCACTTAGGCGGAGTTGTTTATTTTGCAATGTTTGTTTGCTATCTATGTTGACTGTACTTTAAATGTATGGTTGTTTTGAGTTATTTCGATATAAACGCAGTTTGTCTAACTGAAATATTTGTTAATTTAGAAATGCGGATACGGTTATATTTACAAGCTCAATTACAAGTTTGAATTACTTATCGTGAGTCTACAAGAAGTGCATGGTATTGTATGAAAAAAAACGCTGTGTTGAGTCTTAATGGTGGTTTATATATTTATATACTTATAATATAAGTAATACTCGTACATACGAGTATTAGTTATATTATTTATACATATAAACAAAACGTTATATATCTGCAAGTATAGAAACCGCGAGGGTTTTATAGTAGAAAACATCAACAACAAGAGACCCTCATTGACGGAGTTTGCGGCCAGGTCACACAAGTCACCTGTGGTGTGCCGACCGGCTAGGTGTTAGGCCCCATCGGTTATACAGAGTGTATAGGAAATCGTAACGAATGCTGAAATAGTGTATTCAGATGAAACTTTTTATGCAATCACCCGTCATAGGTGAAGGTCATTCCCCGTAGGTATCCAACAAAAGTAATAACTACATGTGTATTCCGTGCAAACAGAATACGTACACTAACACAAATTGGCGACTACATGTACGCAGATGATACTTATTATTTAAATAAATATTTTTAATTTCATTTATTTTCATTTCATTTTCACATAAATGATTCATTAAACACAATGTATAGTAAAAAAAATACTTGTCGTTTTAACAGATATAAAGTACAGTCTGAGGATTAAATTTTCAACCCTGCCATCCCATAAGTGATCGTGGGTTGCGCAATTCATTACTGAGATGAACCTACTCCTAGTTTAAGCGATAAAAGAACTAATGAAATTAAGAAAATGCACAACAGAGTACCTTATTTTCTTACAGCACAGTATCATTAATCATATAAATATATCAAGCCTTACTAGAGACGAACAAAGTAGCTTGTCATTAACATGTTCGGGTTTTGTGATGTATTCGCAAAACTGGTTGCACTTGCATTTTCTTCTCAGCCCTTGCGCGTTTACAAAGCGTTACAAAGTTCTGTACTTAATAATTTTTTATACGTTGCTTGGATGAATCAAATTTACAACTGTTTATTATTTAAAGCCATTGTTAGCATGAATATATAAACATACACACATAATTATTGTCGATAAAGTAATAATATCTTGTCACTCTCGTTTTAGACGGTATTTTAACTAAAGGCCTAATAGCTGTTATTAATACAATTCCTCTGACATGAATTTGTAAAGTTCAACTTCAATATAATCAAACATTTCGAAAATTCATCTAAGGTCTAGGAATTAAAGTTAGATTAACATATTGCTTAA